CCGGCGATCGAGTCGTCTTCTTCTTGTGCAGCAATTTTTAAGCAATGAATAGTACCTCAGCTTGTTGACGATGCCAAATAATATGCGGCATCGAGGTGAAAAGAGTAATACACAGTGAAAAAAATCCGTGGACATTTTTTTGGAAAATGTCTAACTTAAATGGGATTTGTGGGTTTTTAAAGAGACAAAAAAACTGTAGTTCATAGTAATGTCGGAAGTACTGTATACCACGTTTGCCCAACATTGATTAGACAGGGACGACAGTGTTTGCAGTTACTTGATACAGAACTGTTTCGGGCTTATTTGCCTTCATTCAGCCAAGCATACCTTGACCATATGTATATTGCTAATATAAGCGAAAATCCGAGTCCCCGGCCATAAATGAGAAGAAGAGGCGATCACGGGATCTATGGTTCTCGTGGTCGCCTCTTCTTCTAATATATATATAAACATAACATTTTTGTATCTGTATATAACGATTTAGGTGTTCTGCTAAGTCCTTAAAAAAGGTTACTTATAATGTGGGTGAGGGCATACGCGCTGCTTAGTCAGACCGCTTGAAGACTACTCCCAACCGACGTAGATGTCGCGCCACCAGGGCCAGCATTGTCACCAGAGTTAGCAGGCAGCCGTAGACAGCGAGACAAGCCATCCCAGCCTGTATACCCACATTACCGGATTGCCGATCATAGAAGATGTACTTCTCTGGGTTCGGCAGACCCTCCTGCAGAGTCAGAGCAGAGACTGATGTGAGTACTGTGAGGCACCAGACGCCGAGCGTGAGAACAGTCATGTTGTTTTCGTCGTCTAACCCAAACCCACTCCTTAACTGGGGTTCATCTAAATGTATATATATATGTGTGTGTGTGTGAAGAGGATTGGAGGAACATGTTAAAGGGCGGCGGCGGTTGGAGCCCACAGAAAGGAGACGACCGCACCTGATTGTCGAGGACTCTACTGGTACTCAGTATAGTGCGTAAAGTGTTTTTTTTTTCAATGGTATTGCGCACAGTTTACCAACTGGTGTAACCTGCGCATCAAAGGTACTGACGATCCTACCAACTTCCTCACACCGAGGAGAGCCTTGTTTTGTTCATACTGCGCGGTCAGAAACGAGCAAAGGCTGTGGAAGGACGCAGTCGATCGATAAAGCCACATCTGCCGGCCTGTCGGTTCACGGTTTTAAGCCCACATTCTTAGGGGGGAGTAGCAATTTCAGGCACTCAGCTCTCTCAGCAGTTACAGTAGATTCCCCAGCTCATTAAATATCTATCGGAAATTCTGAAATGTATTTTCTATTCGAACAGTCTACTTCAGCGGGTTTGATATATTGATTAGTGTGCAGTCGAGATATTCTAAGTCACACCAGGGCGCCGGCGTTTGAATGAGTGACTGCTCACAAAAAGCATGCTCCATAAAAATGGCTGCTTTAGTTTTATGCCTTTTATCAATTTAAGTTCGATTCCCTAGTGAATTCAAGGGTACTTTAAAGAAAACGTGCACAAAACTGTTGTTTTTTGTACTGTTTCGGCAACGACTTCTTCAAACCTTATGCCCGAAGAAAGGGTACATTATGGCTTTAAAAAAACCTTTTAATTATTATGTTTTATGAAATTGGAATGTTTATTAATAATACAACATAAAGTTATACTAGTGTCTGCTCGTTAGCAGCATGCGTACATCCCGCGATGGCTGATGGAGTTTGGCCCAAGTCTATACATCAAATTTCAGTCCATGCCTATAGGCCTTGCATAAACTGATAAATACCGATCACAGAAATTAATTTTTAAGGAAACTAAAAAGCTGACGCTTATTAACGTTGCCTCAGAGGTATACAACACGATCCACACGCAGCATGAAATTTTATGAACACTATTTGACGGTTTTCTCATACCCTAGAAAATGTGCAATTGTGTTAAAACGTAATGTATACTGCATACGATCTAGACACTCTGAATGCAAGTGAAACGGCCCATAGTGTTCAAAATTATTCCACAATTTAGAAAGTTATTTAAGAAACCGAAAGATTTCCTTTCTTCAAGTATAAGACTTAAACATGTTGTTAACTGCTGCCAAAACGGTACAAGAAATAATATTTCCGTGTGCATTTTTCTCTCTAAAATATATTTGCATTTATGGCGGTACCGAAAATCACTGGTGAAAAATGGGGACTGCATAAGTAGCTATATTTTTATAACCAATGGCTTTTGCAGGTGGTCAACAAAGAATTCGTTTAAAAGCCTTCATCCCGACGCGATATAATTATTTTTCAAGCTCATCGATATTACAGTCCTGTCTAAATAATTTATTCGAATAGAAGACACATTTCAGACTTATGGTTGACATTTCATGAGATAGGGGCTCTACTGTAATAATAATACAATAATTGGGTCATTGGCGCATGACGCTAGCACCGTTGTGAAAAATGCTCAATTTAACCTAAAGTTTGAAACTCATTCAAGGACGATTCTTCATGGTATGGACAGTTGACAGCAGTGTTCGGTCATTATGCCTATTTTATTATCTCCCGGTGTTATGCAGTTTGTGTACTTAATTTTATTCGCAGGGAATAGAGGACGTTTTTGCTGAAAATTTAGGAATAATATTTTCAAAATAAAGATTTCTCTCTTCTTCATATTCAGGAAACCACATAGAGAATGCGGGGGGACTCATTGGGAAGCCCACTCCTTCGCTGCTGCCTCATATAGTAGCAAAAACATCCGCAACACACGTGTCTGGGATTTTAACTTATACCCATATCGAGAGTACGGTATACTACCTTTGCCAACGAAAATATATGTGTATATATATGAATGAATGCAGGTGTTTCACCTATCTAGTCAAGGAACAATTA